CTTCCAAGCAACCTCAGGGTGTATGTTAATGATGTGAAATGGTGCTGTCTAATGAAACTATAATGTAAGATACAAAACATAAGCCAAATATTCAATCTTAAATGCTCTGGTAGATACATTGAAAAAGTAAGGAAAGATAGATAAATTACTTTTAGTATATCATAAAATTTCAATGTAATATCTATATTAAATAAATGAGATATTTTAATTCTTTTTGTACTGAGTCTTTGAAAGTCTGAGTATTTAAAACTTATAGGACATCCCAATTCAGACTAACCACATTACAAGTGCTTAACAGTCATTTATGTCTGGTGGTTACCACATTGGACAGAGGAGAGCTAAAGGATTTTCTGATGTAAACAATGAAATCTTTATACTTTTTAGTTCCTACAATAGATTTCACAATGCTTTAAAGATTGGACCACATTTCTGAAGTATACCTGAAAAGCATTTCCTTGACTAACTCATCAAAAAGGTGGGTGTAATCATAGTTGTTACTTTTGTAAAGAGAGCAAAGTAACTTATTTACAAGAAAAAATTACATATTTATTATTTTTCAGTCATAAAGCACTTGTCCCAACTTTAGTAAGTTTAAAAATAATCTCTGGATTGAAAGGAACTATTCCACATTTGGTACCTGCACTTATTAAGAAAGCCATGTCCCAGATACTGCACAATGACTGGCAATAAAAAAAAAAAGAATGAATAAAGAAAAATTATTAGATAAGAAATGGGAAAATAATAATTATTTATTTATATACATGTAAACTTTAGAGGATGTTGTTAGAATAAGTGAAAAGGCAATGGACCTTGTTAAAAAGTAATGGGGTAAAAGTGGGGTATAAGATTAATCAATCCTGGTTTCAACTAAGGAACTAGAGGGGATTAGAAAGGTCAAAACAAACTTGAAATATTATTTCCCTTGGTTAGTTTAAGCTTAAGCCAATCAATCCTCTCCCTCCTTTTTGGAGGAGGCTGCATTATTATATACGAGTTGTGTGCTGTAGCTAAGGTGAATGCAATTGTATTAGCTACACTGGACTTGCTTAACCACACACAATCCCCATTCTAATCTCCTGCTTAAATTGCAGGGGCTTATTCTTTTTCCAATTCAGAGAAAGAAAGAGGAGGTGTAGAGGCAGGCACGTTTCATCCCCCTTTCCACCTCTGCTCTCACATTAAAATCGTCAAATGAAGCTTTCTATAATAATCTCATGCCTCAAGCCTGAAAGTTTATCTTTGATAAGTATTAAATTTTATTTCTATATAAAATAATTGTGAAGCCTGATATTTAAATTAGCTAGTCATGGACCAAAGAACCTTTATAGAATTCTTTTCTAGTCCTGAATTTTATGACATTTGGCCAAGAAATTGAACTGCCAATAGTATGCTGTAAAGTCGTAAACCATATAGGCTATTTTATAGAACAGGAAATGACCTTCGATTTGGGGATCAACGGTGTTATTTTTTCTCACACTGGGGAAACCACGGGATACAAGGCACTGTACTAGCTAGACATGATGGGATTATAGGGCTCAGATTATTCTCAAACTCTTAAGACCCCCAGGTCCGATGCCACCCCCTTATCTACATCTGTTCCAAATACAGTCCTTTTACTTAAAAACAAACCAAGCACTTGGAATAATTCTAAGTCAGGTGGTATTCAATGGGAAGAAAAGGTTTGAGCACTGGTCTCTCCAGTGTCCTTGAAAATCCAGGTAAGATAAGGCTGCTAGGATGGTGAGCTCCTTGAGGCAGTAGCTATGGCCAGCGTGGAGGCAACATGGAAATGTAATTTTAATTTTTGCATTGGTGGTTTTACAGTTTTGGTAGAGTGTATCATCTATACCCTACACCAGGCTCAGTAACAGTATTTGGCATGACCAACCTTAGTCAGCACTTTGGTAAATGCTTTGGCACGGGCCACTGTTGCTAACCACCATCCTCGTACAGGTCCTTCACATCTGCTCTCCTATGGATGGAAAAAAGGAAGTGTCTAGTGTCCATTCATTGGCCACATCACCTCCAACCCTATCCTTGACTCACGTGCCATCAATTCAGGCCCAGGAGAGAGTGATTCCATTTCTGAGAAGGAATTTAACCAGATGAAGCTACAGTACACTTTTAGTGCAATAAAGACTTGGTGGGATGCAGGACATCCTTGGAGGTTGAGGGAGCTGACCAGCAGCACAATGCTGAAGAAAATGACCAGGAAGTATTGTGGCCAACATTGACTCTCACAGACAGACACAGTAGCACAGCAGACAAAGCAAAAGTCTTGAGTTCTGGAAAATGAAGTTCCTAGTCTCACTTTATTATGAAGCTAGCAAGAGAATGTATGTGAAATGTTTGTAAACTGTTAACGGAAATGGATTATCACCAGACATTAGTTTGGAAATGTTTGGGAAATTCTTTGGGACTTGCTTCCCCCAATGATAAATTTGATAATATATTAATCAACTAATGGTAAAACAACTTGAGCTCTTTAGAAGAAAGATGTATGTGAATGTAGTATGTGGATACTAAAGGTTTATCTTAACAAAAATAAGTTTCCCTCCGCCCAGAATGAACGGTCATTTCTCTACCTGTCTATTAAATATCTTTTACACTTTAAGGATCAGCACAAATGCTACCTTTCCTGAAACAATCCAGACAGAACGAACTGCTCCTTTTCCTGGGTGCTTGCAGTTCAACACAGACCTTCCTTTCCTTTCTTCTAGAACAGATTTCCTTCACTAGAACGTGAGCTTTCCAGAGGCAGAGCTTGTCATGTTCATCAATCTCCCTCATCTTCCTAACACAACGCCTTGCTAACATTAATAAATGTTCCTTGGCTTGTACTGCATTTAGTCTACTTCGGCTTACGGCTTCTTGTTTACCTCAAAAGAACCAAAACCAATAACAGTGAAAAGAAAGAAGAAACTTAAGACAAACATATAAGATGCATCAAGAATGGCTTCACTCTTTGCATTCCTGCTTTGGAATGCCCACTGCTGATCTCCACACAGCTTTGTCATTGACTGTCATTAGTGAGAGCAAATGTTAGAAAGCACAGAAAGGCAGACAATGTAAAAGACTCACACACATCATGCAAAGTCTGTCATGTAGGACTACGGTACTCTCCAAGTTGTCTTTAGCTTCAATTTTTCAATAGCAAAATCGGTACCAACAAGACCTATTTGCTGTGCTTTGTAAGTGCAAAAATCAGTGTCACCTTCAGGTTGAGTTGGGCACTATCTGCTGGATATTGCTGGGTGAGTACATACCTTCTTTGAGGTATAGTTTAAATCAGGTGGAAGCTTGGTTATTTCAGACTTGACGTTTGTGCATTTATTTGTTGGCAGCCTCTAGAATATGTGAATTTCCCTGAAATCACAAGAAGGCCCTGGCACTGTTTTTGTTGCTGTTATAGGAACACCCATAAAGGTGAATTTATATTAGGGATGCCTCTTGTCTCTTTCAGTAAGTACCTGAACGACACTGTATTGTCTTACGTAGTTCTGTCCCTCATCTCCCACTTTCCTAGCTTGGAGCTTACTCATCGTGGATATATGGGCCAGTTGACTAGCATCTTTGTTATCTTTTAAGAACTCATATTATTAAAACAATTTATGAGCAGGATATTTATGTAACTGACCGGTTTGCTAGTATGTCCTATCATACTAATGTACTCCACTCAGTCCTGTTAACACTTCCTATTCCGAGCAGAGGGACTCAGACCACTGTGTTTCATCGGTCCTTTTGGAAACAGCTAAGCACAGATCCTACCGTTACATATTCTTTCCTAACTTGTTATTCTGCCTCCCATAGGTTTGCCATATCGTATCTTATATTTGACTATTCTATCAAAAGTATGGAGAATGTCATCTGCAAACAGATGACAATGTCTTTTGAAGACTGTGAGCACTGTCAGTTGACTGTAAATTGTAACCTGGGAAAAGATGAGAGTTTAAAAAGACTCGCTAGAAGTTCTACTAGGTAGTTTCAGCATACTTATTTCTAAATAACCTGTACCAACCACACTGCCAGCATCATCTGAAAGCAGCTCAGTCTCCGCAGAGGGTCTGACTACCCACCCACTCCTGGCACACTCTCATGCTTTCAAACATTTCTACTCAGCCTCCTGCTGTGCTCTAAGCTTCTGCCCCCTTTGTTACACCTTTTCCTTTAATGACTGGCTTTCCTATTCCAGTAGCTGCTTCTCTTGGCTGTGGGATACTGTTCTTCAGAGTGTGAAAAGGGAGAGGAACAGAAGAAATTCACCTGTAAGTGACAGCTGCCGCTGACACACAGAAGCACTCACTCAAGATGACTTAAACGAGAAAGTGACTCAATGCATGGACGGAAAATAAGCAATTCGGGCAAGTGTGAAAGGAATTAACATTTTCTAATAATTCCTCCAAGAAACCTAGTTGCTGATTAGTATATATTTGATCTAATTATTTTCCAAACTGACTATTTTTGGAGGAGAAGGAGATGTGGAGCCAGAAGGGAAGGGGAGACTGTTTTTAGAGCCCCTAATTAATGCAAGCCTGCTTTCAGAAAAGCCTTCATTTGAGCTATTCCTTTTCACTTTTTCCTGATGGGTGCATGACAATTTAGAATTCTTGGTTCCATCAAAAAAGAAAAAAAAAAAAAAAAAAAGCATCATGATTTGAAACAAAAAACCAAAACAGACCAAAACAAAAAATACAAAAAGCGGCAAAATCACTGAACCTAGCTCAGCATCTTTTTGAAGACAGGGAGGTTAGTTGGTTAAATGTCACAGTGACCTAGCAGTTACTGTCCCACCTTGGGGACTGTGACTGTTGAAGAGTGCATATCCAGAGACACAGGTAGGGGACACGGGAGCCGAGAGCACTAACTGCTGCTGCCAGGGCCACCCTGTGCCAATCAGCATGGGTTTCCAGAGCTGCTGCTCTCTGGTAACTCTCAGCGAGAGAGACAAAGAAATAGAACATTTGTAGAAACCAAGCAAAAAATGGATGGGAATACAATACCTGGAAAGTTTATCAAGCATGTTGACAAGTTTCATGGCTTCATATTCTTTTTGTTCTTCTGTCATTTCATCTATAAGGTTTGGCATTGGTTCCTCTAAATGACCAGTGATAAGATTAATGCTACAAAAAGAAAAAAAAGTTATGCTGTATGTTTTAAAATTATGCTCTTTCTATATTTTGCTGGTCCAAGTTGTAAGTTATAATAAGAAAGAGTATAGTTGCCAAAAAAAATTGGCAATAATAGAATTTTATGGTATAGAACTGCTCTAGGAATTTTTTTTTTTAAATTTACTTTCCTAGTATTAACTATTGTTTTTCAAAAAGTAAAACTAACTTACTTGCCAGCTTAAAAAAAATAAGGCCCGGCTGCTTTTTAAAAATAAGAAATTTGATTGGCTATTTAGGGTAAATATCCTTGGATGCACACCTTCTTCATTAATTATAAGGGGGAAAATGATTTAAGAGAGTAAGAAATTCATTTTGTGATACAGCATAAAACATATAAAAAAATTTGGAAAAATGATGATAGGCTGGAATCTGAAAATGAAAGCATGCCAATTTATAATCTCAATAAATTAGTCCATTAGTGATACCACAGAAGACAATGAGTGTTTAAATAATAAAAGATAAAGCAGAAGAACAATTTTAATTAGATTTGATCTGACCTACATAAAAAAGGAATGAAATGTAGCCTACCAAAAGACAGGTACACCCCATCTGGCTTTCTGGAAATAGATTTAATAAAGTACTTAGAATGAATAGGTTCCATAAACTATGCATGAAGTTCTAATACCAAACAAGCTATCCTCTTAGATAAAAGACACATTTTTTTTTTTTTAAGAAAGTGAAATAAAAGGTAGTTCTTCCAATGGCTGCTAAATATCTGTAAGTTAAATATATTTCTGGAGAAAAGGACAAGCAATTGTAGCATTTTGTACTAGCCAAGTACAGATGGTTTGCTTTTAACGATCAAATGAAATATCCCTGCCAACAGCAAACTGCTAATAAATTGCTTTGTAGGGTCTACAAACACAAATGCGTTCAGGGACCAGGCCTTCAGGAGAAGCAAGTGAGTGAACTGGTTGAGTATAAGTAATGTGGAATCCTGGGACTGGAATAAACTAGAGGCTAGAATGCGAGAATCGATAGAAAAAGTCATGTGGGCCAAAACAAGGACATTGTGATCAATTCGGTTCTCTGTGGCGAGCTTCTATTAGGCAAGTTAACTTTACTGGCCTGGGCTTTCTCATTTGGAGTAAGGGTTAAGCCACAGGTACTATTATGTATTACCACATTTCTTTTTCTTTTGCTGAATTCCTCAGAGGTTACATGACATGCAGATTCTTGTGAAAGAATTCAGTGCTCACCATCCTCAAAAACTGGATCTAAAACATCTGTTTTGCCATTCTTACATAAGACCTATGTCTAGAGCTGTGGTTAAAAATTTTTTTTTCCTTCAAAGCAGTGGAAAACATCCCCTGCTTCTTATTTAACAAATGAAACCCTCGGTAGAGGGCCACTGTGTAAAGTAGACAAAAGTTGGAACTGCTCAGGCAGAAGAGATAGGGATGGCCAAGAGCCCCCTCTATTTGTCTGCACTGGCATAGCATTTTGTACTAGCCAAGTACAGATGGTTTGCTTTTAATGATCATTAAGACTATGCCAGGAACTGTGATGCTAAGGGTAAACAGTCTGAAACCCACAGGCTTGCCAGTGATTTTTAGCCTTGGCTGTACATTAGAATCACTTGGGAAACTTTAAAGAGAACTTAATCTGTGTGTGTGTGTACATGTATATACTAAAGAAATTTGTGCACGGGGGGTGAGGGTAGGGTGAGGGGGGGGTCCCTCAGCCCAGCCTGCACCTTCTCCAATCTGGGACCCCTCGAGGGATTGGGCCTTAACGGGCAACCAGACATCCCTCTTACAATCCAGGACTGCTGGCTCCCAACTGCTCACCTGCCTGCCAGCCTGATCAACCCCTAATCACTCCCCTGCCAGCTTGATAGACGCCTAATTGTTCCCCTGCCAGCTCGATTTTCCCTAACTGCCCTCCCCTGCTGGCCTGGTTACCCCTAATTGTCCTCCCCTGCAGGCCTGGTCACTCCTAACTGTCCTCCCCTGCTGGCCATCTTGTGGTGGCTATCTTGTGTGCACTGGGGGCAGCCATCTTGTGTGTTGGAGTGATGGTTAATTTGCATATCATCTCTTTATTATATAGGATGTTTTTAAGTTTTCCAGATAATTCTGATACACAATGAGCTTGGAAACACTGGACTAGAGTGCCTACTTCAGACACTCGTAATGCATTATTACTGCCTCTCCTTTTTTATTTTTTATTTATTTTTTTATTTAGGTGCTCATAAAAGAAGAGAAAAAGTCATCTAGTTAAGTGGCCATTAACAAAAATACCGAATGGGGTCATCATTTTCCCCAAAAAATCAAGAACAAAGAGGACCCAGACAAGGATTCTGAGAACTACAGAGTTCTTAAGAGGTATCCAGATGCCACAATGAAAATGTAATTCCATTACCCATTATTACTTAGGCATATAATGAGACATGTTTTTACTGGTTTCTCTACTACCGCTTGCTAACTCAGAAAACAACTAGTCTTATAAATGATAAGTAAAAAGTACTTATTGTAGGCACATACCACTTCCCAAGCAAACAAAGGAAATCAGTTCTTAGAACAAAGTATAAGGGAAGGTAGTAGACATATTAACATATATGCTCATCTTGCCTCCTGAGTGAAGGCTTCTCTCATAAAGGTCTATGGAGGGGTGATTTTAAAAACCAGGCCCACAGACTGCTTTAGAATATGATGACAATTATATAAGCCATTGTGTGCCTCAGGGAGAGGTGTGTCAGGAGGACACACTGGTGAGCTCTGTGGTATGGTGGACACCACAGCACACAAAGGTCAGGACATGCATTCCTGGGTCAGAGCACATTTGATTCTTAGTTCTTTTAAGGGCTTAATGGAAATGTCTGTTTTCCGTAAGCTGACCTCAAGTTCTCTGCTGCTAAAATGATTTAACGGCTTGCTCTGAAATTAGGTACTAAAATCACAAAATCCTTTGCTCACTGAACATAAAAGTAGTAGCTAGAAGTTAATTTTTATGGAGTAGGAACTTACCATCCTTTACCCATGGAGTAGAACATTCCAGTACCCCCAAAGTCACTCCAGGGATTCAGGTTTCATTTCTCCTTTACAAAATCACCCCACCTGCCCCCGTACTCAGAACAATGTAAACACCACAGCAAACAACAGGAGCCATGCCACCCTCTTAAGGGAAAGATGGTGGCGTGCTGGGGGCAGGAGGCAGACTGGGACCCTGTCTCCTCTATTGCTCCCCACTTTACACTAGTGGTATGCAGTTTCCTTACCCAGAGAAGAATAGAAAACAAACAGTTCCCACAACAATGATGTCAATTTCCATAAAATAGGTTATTTTCAGTTGAATAAACACTTGCCACCTTATAACCTCAAACAGTAGAGTATGCGACTTAGCTTTCAATTTCAGGATCTTAATCCCATGAAATACTGGGGTTTGTTTTATTTTGTTCCAAGATGCTGAGTCTTAAGATACTTTAAGTACACTAATTGTGGTGGGTATTTTCTGTGGTATTTCATTGAGGATTTTTTATTATATTAGGCCCTTATATGAACTGACCACAGCTATATGGTCTGGGAGATGAAATTATTAAGGCATACTAAAAAGTATGAGCAAATAATAAACATATGCATAAAAGTTGAAATATATTTCAAGTCTTTTGCTTGTTCTTAAAATTGTTACATTTGGTCATCAATAGCACTAGGTCACTTAGCAAAAAAGACCCATTAAAAATTCCCTGAGCTACATGAAAGTTAACTCCAGTCTCTAAAAAGTGTGGATTAAATTTTACTCAAAGCATTGTTGCTGAAGAATGAGCTATAAAGCTCAACCCCTACAGAGCCGGGCAGGTAAGATGAGCAGAAAGGATATGCTGTCAAACCAAGGAAACTTAGGCCTGGTATGAAGGGAACCATACCAACTGCATTGCCATGCAAGAATGTTATTAGAAACTTCCACTTTTTAAAAAGGAGCTGAAAATCCAAATTTTCACATGAAATATCTCAATTCTACATTATGGCAAGTAATAATTTTAAGCAGAACTATATAAAGTTAAAAACAACAGCAACAACAACAACACACACACACACACACACACACACACACACCCCAAACTACCAACGCAACATGGGGAAGTCAAGCATAACTTACCTATAATCTAAATCTAACCTATGAGCTTACAATTTGCAATCTCTGGGAAAGAATCAGGGTTTTAGGAAAAGGCATCTCACAGTCCAGGAGCCCTGGGGGCGGGGGGCAATGCCCCCTTTACACCTCTGCTGCTGCCACTACTGGCATCGCAAGTCTCGGTCAGCCCTCGTTACCTGAGCCTCGGATGGCCCTGGGCGGCTGGGCAACTGACAACTGAGGCTTGCCTGTGCCTCGGGCTGGCCCTGGGTGGCTGGGGGGCTGAGCGGACTGGGGGACTCCGGAGGCAGGTGCATGGAGCGGCCAGACCCACCTAGTGGCAGGCCTGGATGTGCCACATGCCCTCCCCAGTGGGGCTGAGGGGACTGGACATCACTATCTTGTGGCTGTGGAGGTCACCACCTTTGAGGGTGTGACAGTCAATTAGCACATTCCCTCCTTATTGGCTGTGGGCGCTGCCATCTTTATGAGGGTGTGATGGTCAATTAGCATATTCCCCCTTTGTTAGATAGGACGATAGCCAAAAGATGGACACAATTTAAGTCTTCACTGACAGAAGAATGGTTAAATAAAATGTGGTACATACAAATGGAATGTCATTCAGCCTTAAGAGGATGGAAATTTTGACACATGCTGTAATACAGATGAATCTTAAAGAGATTATTCTAAGTGAAATTAGTCAAAAAAGGATAAATATTGTATATGATTTCACCTATATGGTTCCTAAAATGGTGAATTTTATAGCATGTATATTTTACCCCTCAAATAAGAAGGCAAAGTGAAGAGCACAATAAAACTTGCTTTGCCTACCTCAACCACACCTGCCCCCCCAAAAACACACACACCATGAGCTTTGAAGTCAGGCTACCTGATAACTCATGAATTATGTGCTCTACACAAGTACTTGACATCATTGAGCTTTAGTGTCCTCTTCTATAAATTGGGGAGAATTCTATCCCAAAGGGTTACTATGAAAGTTAAATGAGATAATATCAGGAAAGTTCTTAGAACAGTACCTGCACATATTAAGACACTCAATACGTAACAGCTATTATTAGCATAAGTGAGCCACTTGCTAAGAAATAAGCAAGCCAGAAGGCCTTGGATGATGTAGTAAGCTTACTCTGTTCAATTAAATCACCACCCAAGAGGGGCCTGTGCAATCTTCATTAACTAAAGAAGCCATGCAACAATTATGTATTTGGAGCAATTTCCTATACATATATTCAGATAGAGACACTAGTTAATGGCTGAAAATATCTCAAGTAGTTTGAGAATTACCATAAAAATAGAACAATGATTCTACAATAAACAAGATGGTAAATTATGAAACATCTTAATCCAAGTTTTTGCAATTGGCAGTGCAAAAAACTAGGTTGTGGGTTGTCACTCTTTCACTGTTTACCAAGTATTTACTAAGTGCCTATCATGTAGCAAACATACAAGTAAATATACTGAATACATATATGTATATATATAGATACCATATTATAAAAAAAAAACCCTCCAAAATGTCTAATTATAGTGCTTCTTAGTGTTTTCTATGTTGAGTGTTTTGGATTAAGACTGATAACCTTTATTATAAAGGATAGAGAAACTATGGTTGTAAATCTATAGGAAATGAAATGTGGAGCAGCACTAGTGATCTAACACAACTGACCTCTTGCTGGCCATTTACCCAAATTATAACACAAAAATAAAATAAAATAAAGAGAAAGTACAAAACTGGTAGGGTTGCAAATATCTCAAAAGCTGGTAAAGTTACAGAGCCCAGGGTAATGCAGAAGCGGCAGTGATTTATTCTCAATTCTGACCTTCCAGAGCAGCAGTCACGGAGCACCAATGGTCCGAGTACTACTGGCTGGTGACCGCTGTTCTAGATCTGAACTTAGATTGTATTTCATGACGGCTTACAGTAAGTAAATTCTACTTCCTAGAAATGGTAGTTAAATCCTATCTTATCTAAATATATCATCACAGCCCAAACTAGGCCAAAGGGAAAATCTTCAAGTCCTGATTTCTGGCTCATTTACTTGAATAAATATTAAAAACAAAGATCTTTCATGGATAGCCCCAATATAAGGAGATATTTATATGGGATCTGACTTCACGTAACATAATAAACCTTGACAAATAAAAGAAAAAAATTCTTTTTTGCTAAAAAACTGTCAATACAGCTGCTGACAGAGCTACAGCTGAGAGAAATATAGTCAAGAAGGCAATACCCAAGTAGGTTGGTATAATGATTTTAAGCTTCTGAATGTGATCTGAATTAGTGGGGGTATTAAAAGCGTAAGGAGGTATCTTAAAGTTCTGCCCACTCTGGCCTTCCCATTCTTGTCCTCTTATGTACAGGAGTTCTTTAAAGACACCTCTTTGGACCCCGAGGCTCCTAACCACCCTGAAAGTCACTAGCCTACAATAAGCCAAATGTCATTAGATACACATCTTGTGATTGATGTTTGCAATTATGTATATACCATATCAGTCAGTTATTATATATTACACAGACAGTTTAGGACCTCCATGCTCAGAGGCATAAAAGAAACAGGTATAAAATTAGAATTTACAGATTTGGTTTCTCTTCGATACAATACCAAAGTTTATATGAAACCTTTTAACAAACATGGCTAAACATACATCAAAAATCTGTGTGGCATGTAACTTGATTCAATGAGTGTATCCTGTCTAAGTGTGCTAATTACAGAAAGCCATTTCCAGTCCATTAAATACATTTATTTTGACACAAAAAGGACTGTTGTGAAAATAACTGTCTCCCACAGCCTGAATGTAAGCTTCATACAATTCTTGGTTTCAGATTCCACTGAAGGATTACAGGTTACCTTGGTGCATTAATCAGAATCCACTTACATTTTTTTACAATGGGATAAGGGCCAACTGGATAAGGGGTAATTTCTCTGCTTTTGCCAATACTAGCAACTCTTGTGAATAAATGTATCATAAGAAACCTAGACTCTGATCCAGGCAATCCTGTCAGATTTTATAAGTTCCACTAAATTGATAAAAGTTTTCAGGGAAAAAATTCAGGCTCTGTGGATCATGGCATAGAGCACAAAGGACTATCTCACTTGGAAGGTACTTTATTCACCACTATTTCCACAAAGACCATCTAGTTAAAGTATTTTAACAAATTAAACATCCCCCTACGCTGTTTCACCTAAAATTAGGGAAGATACAAGAAAAAACAAAAACAGACAGGAAACCCATAATTGTGATGAGTAATCTTTAAGAAACACAAAATTTCACAATCGTGACTACTCTAACCGTAAAACACCATTCCTATTAACAACGTAGGCCAGGTCCAAAGGCTAAAGATTAGGGATGTAAGGCCCAAGAACTAGTACAGAATCTCCTATGGCGGAAAACGAAGACAACAACAACATCAAACCTCATGGTCTTTGATTTAAACAAACAATGTTTTTCTGAAATCTAGCATGTCTATTTCCCATACCATTGGAAGAGACACAGTGTTCTTGTATTTTCTCTGAACTCTTTCTTGTTATAGTAGCATTCTGGTGCTTGCTAGATACAAGGCCATTACCATTCCAGAAATCATCTATCAAACAAAAGCAACAATACACATTGAGTTGCAACAATACTGACCATCCACAAGTACTCAAGAGTTGTCTAAGTTGACTGAGTCCACATCCCTGGGGCACAAAGAATGCCTAATGTAATTTCTCTCTTCCTTTAATATGAGACTTCTCCACTGGTATATTTTAATGTTTCAAATGGAGAAATATAAAACATTAAATTGTTATGGAAATATAATTTATGGAATGGAAAAAAACAAGAATGAGCAAGACTACATTATAATTAAGTTATATATAATAAGGGAAATATTAAAGTATGATTTCTCTATCTTGTCTTCAAATACTTGATAGAGATACCCAATTCATAACATCTAAATGGTGGCAATCTTAAGAACTTCCTGCTAGCATTTCCCCCAAAAGTCTTTTTTGAGGGTGAGGGGATATACTCTATAAGATCCTGCTGAGGCTGATAACACTGGGTTGCTAAAAGTAATGTTACCTGCTCAGTCGAAACCGGTTTGGCTCAGTGGATAGAGCATCGGCCTGCGGACTGAAAGGTCCTGGGTTCGATTCCGGTCAAGGGCATGTACCTTGGTTGCAGGCACATCCCCAGTAGGGGGCGTGCAAGAGGCAGCTGATCGATGTTTCTCTCTCATCGATGTTCCTAACTCTCTATCCCTCTCTCTTCCTTTCTGTAAAAAAATCAATAAAATATATTTAAAAAATAAATAAATAAAAGTAATGTTACCTGCACAGACCAATTTGCTGAAAATACGGGCAATAAAACTCCCAATTAGGGCATAATCTTATACCTTCTCATACTCCATTACTTTAATGTCAATAGGATATAAAATGTACATAAAGGGGGGGAGCGGCTAATTTTGCAGATAATGATTTTCTATCTTTGACCAAATACAACGTGACCCACATCACACACTAGAAAACTATCAGTAGAAAACATAGCATGTCAACATCAATGATGCCAAAAGGCAGTTACCCTTTTAATATTCAGTAATAAAAACCAAGAAACTGAGCTCAAACAACTTAGGAACTTAGGAACCTACCTGGAATGGGGAATGAGAAGATGAAAAGGATGGCGAGGGAAGGCAAGGAAGTAGAGGTGGGTTGTCTGCGACAGAGGAACTAGTGTCTTATTTGTAAGCACTGACTCAGGGAGGACTTGAGTCTCTATACAGAGCACTAATGCATCTACTCAGAGGTAATTCCCTCAATGTTTGAGTAAAATTTATAGTGGAGCCAAAGTTCTTTACTTTTGCTAGTAATGTGCCTTGTTGCTTTATTGGCTCATAAAGGCTTTTATGCAAGATGAAAGATCAGAATGTATGGAACCTACATTTAGCTTTCTGAGAAAGAATGAAGTATCAAATAACCAACCTAAATACTCAATCTTGGTTATACCTTCTAAAATCTCAACCTATGGAAAGGAAGCAACAATACTTTTAAAATATATGATAGTAGATACATAAAAGCACCATCTCTCTTATGAAAGCATGTCGAAAATAATCATCCAGCACAACATTCCTTGCAATTATTATCCTTCCTCAATTACTTGAAGATACTCTGAAAGGCAGTGGTCACCAATCGGTGGTGCATGGACCACTGGTGGTCCGTGAGGTCTGAAAGGTTGGCGACCACTGCTCTAAGGCATGAGCAATGAAACTGCCTCTGAAAACACTATTAAATGAAAAGTTCCCAAATCCACAAAAGAAAAAAAAACACACTTGGAAAATGAGAGACAAAGGAACTGAAAGCCAAATAACCCACTCAAAGGCACAGAAGTAGGTGAAAAGAAACTTGATACTATACTTTGGTTTTGCATTTTTGTATTCTTCAGTGTCTGTGTCCTCGTCCTCTGAGTACCAATTATCTCCTCTTCCTCCAGTCAAGAGGCCCCTGGCCGCCAACAGTCCTGCAGCGTTCCCATAGCCAGTGTATTTCAGCAGGCTATCCACTGCAAAAACAGAACAGGTTTTTAGACAGGAATCCTTGGAGGTGCACTAGCATCACTGACTACTCACCAACACAGGGACGCTGGAGATAAAGGCTACGATGGGAAAGCTTAAAACGGAGAATTTTTCAAAGTGGGGTTGGTAGTGGTTACACTGAGCTACCTACAAACTCTCCTAAGTGCTCTGAGGACCAATCTTTTTTCAGGTTTCTGAAATTCAAACAGCTGATTTGAATATACTTCGTTGCAGAAGTGGGCCTCTCTGACCACCAGGGCATTGGTAAGGGTGCAGTTTTAAGTTTTTGTTCACAAATCTTATTTTTTTATCCAGTTTTAGAGAAATGATGATTAGAAATGAGTTACTGACATTTTACCAGTATTGCACATCATGTAAAATTTTTCTTACACCCTTTGTAGGAACTGGAGGGAAAGAAAATAAGAAAACTTAAGGATTAGCAAATGGGCTAAGTTACTGCTTTTTTTAAAAAAAAAAAATCAGCAATCTATATACATAAAAGGTTAATATACTAAGTATCTGACTGTCCAACCGGTTGGTATGATGCACACTGACCACCAGGGAGCAGATGCTCAACACTTGGAGCTGCCATGACATGCACTGGCTGGCACCGCGGACCTGCACCTATAAACCAACCCTCAGCTTCCCCCAAGTGGGACACAGGCACCACCACCACACAGGAATGACACCCCACCAAATTGTAGCCAATGTTGGCAAGACCCCCATGGCACAAAATGTGGCCACAAGCCAATCCAGCCTGGAAACAGTCACTGTGGGTACTGGGTAGTGACATCACATAGCAACGCCTGGCTTCCTCTCCCTAGTGACAACTAGTTTCCTTGTAGTTTCTTCAGCCCAGGAACACGACTTGCTTTATAGCCAGGTGGAAACATTTCACACTTTAACCAAATGCCTGTGAAGCATTTTCCCATGTCTCATCTCATTTGAGCTTCACAGAAGTCCTGGAGCAGGCAGATAGGAGACTCAATGGAATTCTATTCTTTTTTCATTAGCCATAAAATGGAGATTTAGAAAGCTTAAAAACTTAACCCGACTGAAAGAAGTAAGAAATGATGGACCTTGAAAATAACTTTAGGTTTTCTAACTGCACAGAATAGTCAAACACTGCTGCGGGTAAATATTTTACCCTTTGTTCTTCCTGCGTGATTTACAATAATAATCTGCTTTGTGTTGATATTTACTGCTGTGTGGCTGATAATTACCTGAAAGAGAAGTTGGGGTGCTTCACTTGGCTGGAAAAAGTTTAGTTAAATCAGAAAGCAGGTCTAATTAAGCAAATTTATCTTATCCTATTCCATATAACAAAAGCCTAATATGCTAAGTGTCCAGTCATCCATTCAGTCAATCAAAGTGTAATATGCTAAGGCCGCTCAACCACTTGCTATGATGTGCACTGACCACCAGGGGCCAGACACTCCAACCGGTAGGTCAGCTTGCTGCTGGAATCCAGCCAATCAGAACTGAGAAGGACGGGCTAGACATGCCCTGGAGCCCTCCCTGCAGTCCTTCCATGGCTGGCCAACCTCCCATGTCCTTCCCTGGCCCTGATTGTGCATGTGGGGTCCCTCGGCCTGGCCTGCGCCCTCTCACAATCCGGGACCCCTTGGGGAATGTTGGAGAGCTGGATTCGGTCTGATGGCAGAACGACTGGTCGCTGTGACATGCACTGACCACCAGAGGGCAGATGCTCAATGCCAGAGCTTCCCCCTGGTAGTCAGTGCACTCCCACAGGGAGTTCCACTCAGCCAGAAGCCAGGCTCACAGCTGGTGAGTGCAGCGGCAGTGGCAGGAGCTTCTACCACCTCCGCGGCATCGCTAAGGATGTCGCTCTTAAGCTGTCAGTTGGACATCCCCCAAGGGCTTCTGGACTGCATGAGGGCACAGGCCAGACTGAGGGACCTCCCCCTGAGTGCACGAATTTTGTGCACCAAGCCTCAAGTATATACATGAAAGGCTAAGTTAATTCACGCATGTGCAATCCATATACAGTTCTCACTGGCACCAATCGCAGCTATGTGTTTTGATCTGTCATTGTTGATTGTGAATTTGTTTTTTGTTTTTTTAAATATATTTTATTGATTTTTTACAGAGAGGAAGGGAGAGAGATAGAGAGCTAAAAACATCGATGAGAGAGAAACATCGACCAGCTGCCTCTTGCACACCCCCTGCCGGGGATGTGCCCACAACCAATGTATATGCCCCTGACCGGAATCGAACCTGAGACCTTTCAGTCCGTAGACCGATGCTCTATCACTGAGCCAAACCGGCTTCGGCTGATTGTGAATTTGATTGATACTTCTATTATAGAGAAAGGCCGAGTGGCTTCTGGCTGAGTGGAGCTCCCCCTGTGGGAGGGCACTGACCACCAGGGGGGAGCTCCGGCATTGAGCGTCTGCCCTCTGGTGGTCAGTGCATGTCACAGCGACCAGTCGTTCTGCCATCAGACCGAATCCAGCTCTCCAACATTCCCCAAGGGGTCCCGGATTGTGAGAGGGCGCAGGCCAGGCCGAGGGACCCCACATGCACAATCAGGGCCAGGGAGGGACATGGGAGGTTGGCCAGCCATGGAAGGACTGCAGGGAGGGCTCCAGGGCATGTCTAGCCCATCTTCCTCAGTTCTGATTGGCCGGATTCCAGCAGCAAGCTAACCTACCAGTTGGAGCGTCTGGCCCCTGGTGGTCAGTGCACATCATAGCAAGTGGTTGAGCGGCCTTAGCATATACTGGTGACAAGCAATGTACTACTTAGAGGGACCTGTGCCAAATGCTTTGTTGGAGTTCCAACAGCTTATTTGTTTGGGTTGATTAAGATGATCAGTGATCATTTTACCTATATGACTAGGAAAATACTTCGTGCCCGACACTTTGCATGTGTTGACCTGTGAGGTAGATATTATTCCAATTCTCCAGATTAGAAAATGGGTACAGAGCTGCAAAATAACATACCCAGAGTCAACCAGCTAGTATTACACTGGCTGGATTTCATTACTGAAATCCAGCCAGTGTAATTCCCGAGCCTCCCTTCTCAAGTGGATTCTGTATGTTTTATATATATGACTAGTGGCCTGGTGCACCAATTTGTGCACATTGAAAGGTCCCAGGTTCAATTCTATAAAAACATATAGAATCCAGTGAGAAGGGAGGCTCGGGAGTTACATTGGCTGGATTTCAATAATGAACACATACTAGCTGGTTCACCCTGGGTATGTTATTTTGCAGCTTTGTACCCATTTTCTAATCTGGAGAATTGGAATAATATCTACCTCACAGGTCAACACATGCAAAGTGTAGGGCAAAAAGTATTTTCCTAGTCATATAGGTAAAATGATCACTGATCTTCCTAGTCAACCCAAACAAATAAGCTCCAACAAAGCTTATTTGTACAAAACATTTGGCACAGGTCCCTCTAAGTAGTACATTGCTTGTCACCAGTGTAAGGTGATTATCTCTAAGACAGTGGTTCTCAACAATCTAATGCCACGACCCTTTAATACAGTTCCTCATGTTGTGGTGACCCTCAGCCATAAAATTATTTTTGTTGCTACTTCATAACTGTAATTTTGCTACTGTTATGAATCGTAATGTAAATATATGTGTTTTCCGATGGTCTTAAGTCTCTATAGCAGCGACCCACAGGTTAAGAACCACTATTCTAAGAGAAGCAGACATGTAACACTTTTTCAGGGAATCCTTGAATTGTAGTTTTACTTTGTGTGCATGATTTCTAAGCACCTTTAAGAAAGATACCGAGCAATCACTAGCAGCTTTATATAGAAGCACTTTCTTTTCTTCAATTTGAAGGTGAACACTAAAATATTCAATCAAATGATAAAAATTGGCAAAACTTAAGGCTTTCAATAAAATGGCAACTAAAGACAACTGTAGGAAGCAAAACAACACTATCCTATCCATGTGTAAGGCCTCAGTAAAATCTACATCTGAGATACACTGTAATTCAGATCATTTACTCAAAAAGATAAAATAAATCTGGAGAAGATTCAGAGGAGAGCCCTGGCTGGTTTGACTAAGAGGACAGAGTGTTGGGCTGTAGACTGAAGGGTCCCAGGTTCGATTCTAGACAAGGGCACATGCCCGGGTTGCGGGTTTGATCCCAAGTAGGGGGATGTGGAAGAGGCAACCAATCAGTGATTCTCTCGTCATTGATGTTTCTGTCTCTTTGTCCCTTTCCAAAACCAATAAAAATACATTAAAAAAAAAAAAAAAGATTTCAGAGGAGAGCTATTAAAATGACTCTGGGGCCAAAGCCGGTTTGGCTCAGTGGATAGAGCATTGGTCTGCGGACTGAAGGGTCCTGGGTTCGATTCCGGTCAAGGGCATGTATCTTGGTTGCGGGCAAATCCCTAGTGGGGGGTGAGCAGGAGGCAGCTGATCGATGTCTATCTCTCATCGATGTTTCTGTCTATCCCTCTCCCTTCCTCTCTGTGAAAAATCAATAAAAATATATTAAAAAAATAAAATAAAATGACTCTGGGAACTAGAAAGGGGCAATGGATAGGGAAATAGGTATTAAGGACAGAGGATAACTGTGTAAGAATATGAAATTATGAAGGGTGTGAATAGAATGAATAGACCAACCAGGAGAGAGTTGGTCAATAAATTTTCAAATACTTGAACTACAGGGTACCTCCCTTGACAGTAAAAATAAAAGGAAGTCTTGCTTTCAAAGAATATCGCAACTGGTGAAATTTATGCAAAACGAAACATATTAATAAATTTAAGTAGATTAAATGCAGTTTACACTCTAAGTTTCAACAATTTGCTACCTTAAAACCTATTGATAACTATGGTTTCTTTGGCAATAATTCTCAGTGGGTGCTCGATAAAATCATATTACAATTTAATGAGAGATTATGGTGATGTAACTTGAAAGCCCTCAGAATACATCTGATCTGCTCTCTCTTGCATTTAGTACCTCTGCAAGATGAAGTTGTTTAGAGAAATTAAAG